GATGAAAAACGGGTATTAAGTTCCCCAGTATTTCAGGAAGAACAGTGATGACAGCTGTAAATTTGCATTCTAGAGACAAACAAAATTAGTGATCAGTTCAGGAATCAAAAAAGACGATGCTCCAGTTGGGCTGTTTCAGTAGAGCCCAAAAGCCATATAACTGTACTCCGCCAAAGTCCTTCGGATCCAGTCGCGGAAGACGGCCACACGAGTGAACAAGCCGGGGTAACTTTCAGGTTCCTTGGCGTGGGTCGCCGATGCGACACCCATCAGCTCCCAGTGATCTCCCGCTGGGCACATCAGGCCACTGCCACTATCACCCTAGGAGATGGAAATATTGTACAAATAAGTGTTTAGGCACTTATTTGGATAAGTATTTTTGCATGTTCTGCGGATGGCGCATCAAAAACAAAAAAGATATTAGGTTTACGAAAACGAAATAATACCCCACAAGTCCACCAAATAATTTGATTTAATGGGAAAGGTTTACGAAAAAGTATAAAACAGACGGACTAATAGTACAGGGCATATATAAACAAGTTACTAGCAAAATAACATTTGAATTTGACGAGCAATGCTATGCTGCCCGATTAATACGCGTTGAAATCCCTGTGGGAGGAAAAGTTTGTCAAGTTTGCCACACGCCGAAAGCTTATTTGAGACTGCTTCGTTTTCGTGAAAATAAATTTCCATAAAAGGCAGCATGATCAAGAAATATCTTCTATTGAGTTATTTACAAACGTGAAACTAATCCATTAATGTGTAATATATAGTATATATGGTTACGTTACGTATTGTTTTCTTATATATTATATTAATACATCAATATGCTATATAATTAAGAATTCAAGTCCGGCAAGCATGCGCTCTCGATTGTTCATCAGCACGTTTGCAAAGTAATGCCAGAGAGTAAAGAGTAACCAAATTTTAAACATTCAGCACTAGACTATGACTCATGACGTCTGAATGCCCTCATCCCTCTCCCCTACACATACTACTTATTGGCCGTTTCAATCTTTCTTCCCTGCCCTCATTTATTTTAAGGTCAAGGCCTGCAGATGAGTAATCCAAAGCGTGCGTTTTGCAGACTCGAATCCTTAAATATTTACATGGGTGTCATCAGCGAACTTAAAATATTACAGACTCTTATATTTTATATGATGCGATGGAATTGGTGTATAAAATATACCATAAAATATCCCTAATGGTAGAAAACCCACGAGACCCAGGAAGGATTAAGCCCACAGTCTTGCGGCTCGCTTCATTCTGACCGACATCGCACTGATGCTATATCTGTCTTGATAGCATGGCCCCTTCTTGGGGCCACTTCCGCTTGAGATGCACAGGCTTAGGAATTGAGTGATTTGGCAGTACACAATTTCACGTAACGAACCAAAGTCAGTGTTTCCACAATGAGCTTTCTGTCGTTATTAATAGCAGAAAAAACACTCAAACTGCACGCGCTCTTAGAAAGTCAGACCATCATGCTCATAAAGAGAAAAAAACACGAAAACCTATATATTGGAAGGTAAATGTTGTGCCGTTTTTAATAGGTTTTTCAAAGACAATACCCCTTTACCTTAAATACACTGAACTTTACTGAATAAAAGCAGACAACAGACAGGCAGTTTAAAACACAAATATTACCGGGCAGATGCCAATGTTCTGGTTGTGAAATCCGGCGCAGAATTCGTGCTCATCATTAAGCCCAGCAGCATGGCTGTAGATCTCAGAGCAATTGTTGTTCTCAAACACGGTCAGCTTAGCGTACATGGCGTACGGGGAGGGACCGGAGGACTTTACAAGACAACCCCAGCCCACGAGAAAACATTCCGTATCCGGCGCTGGTTGAGTATTTGTGTCGAGACCGGGGGTCGGTAGTCTAGCCTTGAGGATCAGCGGATGTTGCCCCAGCGGTATGCTATCGGCGAGTTTAACCAGGGCTATGTCATACTCAAGTTCACCTGCGGGAAATGGTAGTCATCAGAATGGAAAAGCAGTGGACACGTGGACTTCCATATGCACAGGAAATGTAATAGGACCTACTAGGTTAATAAAGGAGGCAATTTAAATACTTTACATGCTAATGCTTACGGCAAGATAGGTAACTGGTTTACTTTGCCATGCAGACTAGGGCATGGCAGTAGACTGGAATAAATATAAATATATAGGCAGAAATACATTACCGACAAAAGACAAGGAAGACTGAAATGGCCATTCGTGGCTTACCAGCCATTGTTATTTAGCCATACCCAACCCAAAGTGTAGCGATTCCCGAGGCTCTAAGTCGCGACCTTGTTAGCTAGAAGTCCACTACTCAAACCGTGCGGCACGGGCTCGTTTCCTCGCCGGTTTCGACCAGAAATATACACTGTGGTATATGGACACTCACCAGTCCATACGGTTAGAGCGTTGGCATTTTAACTTCCAAGGTCGCGGGTTCGAGTCTCGGGGGTCACTACCCCTAGAGTTGGGTATGGCTATCTGATGACGGCTTATAAGAAAGAAATAACCATTCCAGTTTTCTTTGTCTTTGTCGATAATGTGTTTCGGTCTATAATATAGCACCTACTAGCGGGGTTCAAAAGCCAGCCCAAAAGGCAAAACGGAACGAGTGAGTTCCGTACGGATTAGTGAAAAACCATCGACAACTTCGACGGAAGTCTTTCTTTGGGAAAAGATAAGACACTTTATTATGCAATAATGCATAATGCCTGCTAATTTTTTACAATAGCAGGCTCTGTTGTTTGACATCTATTCTGGATTGGTTGTCGTCTTTTCTAGGCTTATTTGAGATTGTTGTACATGAAATCTAATTTTTTGCACCGATTCAGGCACGATTCAGTGGAGTTAATGGCGTCTAAAAATGCACGATCTTCCTAAGGTGGGCAGGAGCAAACAATGCAAGTTTGGTTCCGCGCAAATATTTGTCCAGTTTTCAGTGTGGGCATGGCAACATGGGACGAGTGGTCTCGTTTCTTTAGAGTCATTTGGTGTTCATGTAAACGTGTGGAGGCTATTCCGAAAGCTTACCCATTGAAAAAAAGTGGTGAAGGATCAATCAGCAATTCTATAGAGTCTTTGAACAAATCGCAAGTACTTAAAATAGCGGCAGACGAAATAATGGTATCATAGAAGGACCACTTACATCCTACGACAGAGAGTTTCCTGTATCTGCGTTGTTTGAACTCTTGAATCTATATCTGGAAACTAAATTTTCATTCTCACACTAATACAATCAAAAGGTAAAAGGATCCCCAATGGGGTCAATTATTTCGGACTTCCTGGCTGAAGTTACGATACAAAATTAGAAGCTACGGCCCTACCAATAGTTAACCCAAAGTTGTGGTTATGCTACGTCTACCACACGTTTTTCATCTTTAAAAGGGAGAAGATAGAAACATTACACAGCGTTATTGATTCAACAAAGTCAGGAATCACGTTTACGTTCGAAAAAGAAGTTGACAGTAAACTCCCGTTTCTCGACGTCCTCGTTCAGCGTAAGACTGATGCGACATTTCAAACATCGGTTTATGGCAAAAAAGCACATGTGGATGTTATCTTACGTTACGAGAGCAATGACCTTGTCGGTCAGAATTGGATTACTGTTAACATCCTAATCAATCGAGCAAAAACGCACTGTTCTAGCTCCGAACTCCCCCAAACCGAACTTAATTACTCGTCCAAACTGTTTTCCAGAATGGTTATCCTAGAGAATTTGTACGTTAGTGCATGAGACAACAATAATTAAATCAAAAAGAAAAGGAACTAGATTGTTCCGATCAGACGCCCAAACCAACATGCTGGTGAACACTCCCATACATTAAGAAGGCGGCTGAACTCGTTGAAACATACCTGAGGAAGCACCAAATTCAAGTGACGCACAAATCGACGACAACACTGTGAAATCAACTTTTAAAACCTAAGGATAGGGTTGGTTGTTTGGACAGAAAAAAAGTCATTTAAAAGTTTCCTTCTGGCAGTTGCAATGCAATTTATTGTGGTCACACAGGAAAGCCGGCCTCTCCGCTTTTACATGAACACCAATTGGTGGTATAGGAGTGAGACCACACACTAGAAACCGAAATAAAATTTGCATGGGACAAAACCTGCATTGTTGGTTCCTGCCCAAGGAAGAAAGATCTAAGATATAAGAAAGATCGTGAACTTTTGGAGACCATTTACTCCCATAATCGGCACATCGAATCACAACTATAAGTGAAACCTTCTTGAAAATAATGGATATTAATTGGGCAGTTATTTTTTTCGGAGTAAACTATTCAGTAGGCTTTGAGGTAATATTTAGTGGAAAAACAGCATATCATCGAGTTAGAGGAAATTTTATAGTTTCCGTTTAGCAGAGGTTTAATCACATCCACGGCAGATTTTGTATAGGCAGACAGCATTGCCGGCAAAGGCAAGGGATACTGGAACGCCATTTCTGGCTTATTAGTTGTCGTAAGGCAGTCATAACCAAACCTAAGTGGTGCACCACCCGAGGCTCGAACTCGCTATGTTTGCTCAGAATTCTAACCATCTAACCATTGGGCCACGAGCTCGTTGTCTTGCCCGTTCAGATCGGGAGATATTGGCCCTCGTTGGTGAACGTTCAGCGATCGCTAACGGCAATTCTGTCTGCTTAAACTATTAGCCACGCTGTGTGGCTGTTGGCGGAACTCGAGGAGGAGTCCCAAGGCAAAGCGGGACGATCGGTGAACGTTAATCAACGAATTTGTATCACCGTTATAAATATCGAACCACTTTATAAGCCTAGTTGTTCAATCATTATTTGAAATCTATATTCAGGCCACTGGGACAGTCTCGTTTTCTGCTTTTCAGTGAGTCCAATTTGTTGACGTCGAATGATTAAAGATTTCAGGAAAACAACATACAGGCTGACAACTCATCCTGCAGCATTGCAACTATGAGACAATCAGGCAACGATTGCTCTTACCGAATGACCGTCATCACCTCTTAACAAATCTTGTTTAAAAGTCAGTTTATGGCAAACAATTGTCTTCAGCAACTCGTCATCAGGCC